ATATGATTTTATATTTTGAAAGATAGGACCTAAGGATGAAATTGAAATATTCTTTTGCATTATCAGTTTTGAGGATCTGAATTTTGAAATGCGATTGAATTTGAATCATGTCATGAAAGGTTTGGAGGATTTGTGTTGTTTTAGACTTCTCCTTTGTTAGAAATTCTCAAGCAGTTCTAGCGTGACCGATAATAAATTTAGAAAAACCGTCTAGCCCTAGTTAGTGTTTTCACCTTTGAAAGTTCTCAAATATCACTGTGAATGGAAAAAGGGTGTTTAGACGACTCCTGAAGAATATTTTACATCAGTGTGCGCGAAAGTTGCAATGATGTTCTGAATTACCTCCAAGTAGCTTCTTTGGGAGTCGTCTAGATAAAATTCTTGATCTTTAATTCATAGTTAACCTCAGTAGTATAACTTGACGTTTTCATCTCGTAATTGGTCATAAATCTTATGTGTTTTTAGGGTTGCTGCTAGTTTAGGGTGGGAGTTGACTGCTACTTATGCAGGTAGAGGAACAACTGTTGCAGGAAAGAATGACATTTGGCGACCGATGTTGCTGCTTGCTACCGCTATTACTGTTGTTTTTGCTTCTTGCTGCTAGGGCTGTCAAAAAAGCTCGTTGTTCGCGAACAGTTCGTGTTCGGTTCGTCCATGAGTTTGTGTTCGATTCGTTCGATAAGTAAACGAGACAAACGCGAATAAATTTTTTTCGTTCGGTTAGTTAAACGAACCAAACACGAACAGTGATGCGTTCGTTCGTGTTCGAATCGTTATTGTTTGAAATATAAAATAATTATATATATATATATAATTTATTATATTTTAAAACATTAAATTTTATAAATCAAAATATATAATAAAATAATAATAATAATATATTAATATACTATAGTAGTAATATACTAATATAGATATTGTATATTTATATAATATAAGTTATATAATTAATATATAATATTATTTTTATATATTAATATTAGGGATGTCAAACTGGCTCGTCGTTCGCGAACAGCTCGTGTTCGGTTCGTGTTCGGCTCGTTCGTTAAGAAACGAACACGAGCTTATTTCAAACAAACTAAATTTTAAACGAACTGAACACGAACACAAGCTTTGTTCGTTCGTGTTCGGTTCGTTTACACCCCTACTTGCTGCGCCTCCATTGTTGTCGTTGCTGTTGCTGTTATTGTTGTTATCATAGGACATGAGAATCTTGAGGAAGAAGATGCCTGTAGGGAGAATCCAATGGAGGGTTTGCTACTAGGAAGATTTTGGTGACAAAAATTTAACATAAGAGATCCTGCAGGAGAATTATGGTGCCAGGAAGAAGAGGAGGGGCTCCAGAGGAAGGTCTACAAATCACCTGAAGGGATTCCGACGGAGGAGGGCCTACTTCAGGATTGATTTCAGATGTAAGGAGAGTTATGGTGGAAAAGAAGAACAATAGAGGTCTTGCAGGGCAAAAATCCAGCTGAGGAAGAGTTTTGGTTGTGTGCATGGAAGAGTTCCTACGTCGTTAAAGGAGATTTCTTGTTGGAGGAGAAGATCCAGAAAAGTGGACGATGTAGGCAAGTGATCTCAACAAGTGGATGATGTCGTTTAGTGATCCAAACGAGCAGACAAGTGATCCAGTGAGTAGATGATACAGACGAGCATTTCCAACGAGCGGATGGTGCAATTGAGCGATCCAGACGAGCAGACGACATGATGGAGTAGGAGGAAGCTTTGAACTGTATTGTGGAAGCTTTGAGTAGGGCAGTCAAACGTAGTTCACATGCGATTCAGAAAAAGCAAAAGGGCGATCTCAATGAGCGATGCTGATGTTGATTCACAGATGTGGCATACGTCGAAGATGAATGAATAATTCGAACAACTGATTTGAACAATGAGTGCACGAAATGATGTCAATCCAATCGAAGTGTTCACCGATTGACACATACAGATGAAGGATGCTGACGAGTAATTCAGTCAAAGTTGGTTGATGACATATGCCCTAATCCAGTTGAAGCCTAATCTGACACTCTTATTGTGCCTCCACCTTCAATGCAAGAGTTTGGTCATCCTGTAATATCCAATAAGGCTCCGACTGTACCATTTGCCAATGGATGGTCTCAATCATCCCAGATATCAAACTGTGGTATTCTCCTTTGGCTCCACTAGCTCACACTTCAACATAAAAGGTTGAACTCAATTGTGATTCATTTACGGTTATGTGCTTATGTAATTGAGTGCATTAAATGATGTCAATCCAATCGAAGTGTTCACCGATTGAAGCATACAAATTAATGATGTCGACGAGTAATCCAGTCAAAGTTGGTCAATGACATATGCCCTAATCCAGTTGAAGCCTCATCTAACACTCTTATTGTGCCTCCACCTTCAATGCAAGGGCCTGGTCATCCTGTAATATCCAATAAATTTCTAATTGTACCATTTGCCATTGGATGGTCTCAATCATCCCATATATCAAACTGTGGTATTCTCCTTTGGCTCCACTAGCTCACACTTCAACATAAGCGGTTGAACTCAGTTGTTATTCATTTACGGTTAAGTGCTTATGTAATTGATTGAAAGGGGAAGGAAATCAAATTGCTACCCGCACCGGCCAACATAAAACCAAGCAAATAGAAGACGGACTTTTAGTGTTATTGGATACCTACTTCCAGCAGAGTACAAAACTGGAGGCTGTATGTTGGCCATATCACTTACTAAACAGAAGCCCCAATGCTAAAATTCTGGTAAAGTTTGACTCCTACAATTTGCAGAGTGTGGCCAATAGTCTCGCCAGGCTAGCTGCCTCCTTTACGATATATTCAATATCAAATAAGCCACTAAACTTGCCAAGCTGGCTGCCTCCTTTAGGATATATGCAACATCAAATTGATTTACTTCTAGGCTCTACCTTACCTAACCAGCCCCATTACAAGATGAATCCTCAGGAATATCAGATATTGCAAGATATTGTAGATGTCCTTTTTGAGAAAATAGCTTTTTCATCATAGTTTAGTCCTTGTGCAATTGAATTTTTTAGGGAGAAATATAGTGGCCACACTATTCGAATAGGGGCCGCACTATCTCAAGGCAACAAACCCATTGACTTTCTTAGTGAGAAACATGGTGGCCAAAGATATAAATTGTCGACGTATGAGCAGGAGATATATATGGTGATTTGTGCCCTCAAGCAATAGCAACATTACTTGATCCATCAATAGTTTCCCATCTTTTAGTGACCACCTTTCTTTGCTATTTTTATAGACTCAGAGTCTGAACCGGATGCACATGAAATGGGCTGTTTTCCTGTATAAGTTTAGTTTTGTTTTAAAACATAAATTCGAACATACCTTTCAAGTTCCCCATGCTTTAAGCTGGAGAGCCAGTGTATGTATAGTCCAACAGTGCTGGATTGGAAATCTTGTTTGACCATTATGCCAAATATATGCTGATTTTGCCAAGGCTTAATCTCTGTGTAACAATCGTATGGCCTGCGGCGATTACTCCATACAACATGGCTTCCTCTTCTAAGGAAATCAGTTGTGTATACCCAACACTTTCCTGAGGCAGTAACTTATAAAAGAACGTGGAACCCTAGTTATGTATTTTGGGAGAGGCAAGACTCCTGCATGTTTTCAAACCATATTTTTTTTTGGCCAAAGCTATGTAAAAGAGTGTTGATTTGTTGAGAAATGGATCATTTGCCAAAGACTCAAAGAACTTCCCAAAAATCCGGATTTTATACTCCCTTACTAATTTGAGATTAACTTTGGGAAGATCTTAGTCTCAATTTTGTCTTGGGTCTTCCCTAGTTCAAAAGGAGATTCGACTCTATTATGGTGGTGGTTGATCAATTTTCAAATAAGGCTTATTTTGTTGCTTGCAAGAGAACTTCTGATATTATCAATGTTACCATGTTTTCTATAAGGAAATAGTTGTTTCCATGTGTTCCTCATAGTTTTACCTTAGATTGGGACATGAAATTCATTACCTGTTTTTGGCGAGAACTTTGTTTTTTATGATAATTGTGGAAAGGACTGCAAACTTAGCTCAAATTCAGCCAAGGATTTTCATCCTCACTTTGACGGTCAAAGTGAAGTGGTGAACTGTACTGTAAGTGATATGTTATGCTGCATTGTTGGTGACAAACCAAAATATTGGACGGCATGTTGAGTCAAGCTGAATTTGTATTCAATTCTATGATAAATAGGACCACTGGCAAGTCACCTTTTTGCATTGTTTATACCAAAGAGCTGAATCACACGATGGATGTAGCTATACTACCTATACCAAATGCTCTCAAGCTGTAATGTTGGCTGATGATCAAGCAAATATCAGATGACGTAGAAGTTAGGATTGCCAACATCAATCAAAGTTACAAGCAGCAGCTTGATGTACACTGTAGCAAGGTTTTTAGTGTGGGTGATCTCGTGATGATTCATCTTCATAAAAGAGAAATTTCCTAGCAGCACTTATTCTAAATTGAAGACTTGGAAGATTGGATTTTTTTTTAATTTTATTTAAGGCTCAAATTAAGCAAAATGCCTTTGTAGTGTTTCTTTCTCTAGAAGTAGACATTTCCACTACTTCTAATGTAGCCGGCCTTCAGAGCTATCATCAACCTGATGATGGGCTTGTCCAGATTTCTAAGCTTGAGTCGAGTTCTTCTGAACTGAAAAAGAACTGCTGCAATAAATTGTTTTAGTTTCCGCTGGTAACACGTCTTAGAACCTTTTCATCAGTTACTTTAAATGCTATTTTATATTAAGTCAATATTAATCTTATTTCTGTTAGTTACTACTAGTGCCTAAGTGGGAGTATATATTCAGCTACTTGTAACGGTGGAAACAGGGTTTTGATTATTCTCCCCTGCCTACTGGGTGAATACCAGTATATTACTGTATTGTTTCTTCATTCTTCTATTTTTTTTTCTATCCAATTTGTGAAAGCTGTGTCATATTTCTCATAACTTATCAATGATTATGACCTCTTATTAAGCCTTTTGTCAGGTCACATCCACCGCCTTGTCGGTCTTTCTTTCTGTAGTAATCGTAACCCTAATACAGACAATATTTGCACGCCCGGTCTATGCAACACTACAAACAGCCACCCAAGCTGGTGGAAGGCTTTTTAGAGCAGAGTTTCTCAGTAGTGCCTGGACTGGTTTTCTCGCAGGTTGCCTTCACACATTGTCAGGCCCTGACCATTTGGCTGCGCTTGCTCCATTATCAATTGGACGTACAAGAATAGAGAGTGCTGCTGTTGGTGCCCTCTGGGGCTGCGGCCATGATGCAGGGCAAATGATATTTGGATTGCTTTTCTTACTACTTAAAGACCGTTTACATATTGAGGTCATCCGGACATGGGGGACAAGAGTTGTTGGTATAACATTGCTCGTCATAGGTGCAATGGGAATCAGAGAAGCTTCTGAAGTGGTGACTCCTTGTGTTGCTCATGAGAATGGAGAGTGTGATGTTGGCGTATTGGAGACCATAGAAGCTACCAGTTCGAGGAAGAAGATTGGTTTTGCCACTTTTGCTACAGGCATTGTGCACGGATTGCAACCAGATGCACTAATGATGATTTTGCCAGCACTGGCTCTTCCTTCGCGTTTAGCTGGTGCTGCATTTCTTGGCATGTTTCTGATTGGTACTGTTTTTGCTATGGGTACTTACACAGTTTTTATTGGTTCATGTAGTCAAGCTTTAAAAGAAAGGATTCCTAGGATAACAGAGAAACTAACATGGGCTGCTTCTCTTATGGCAATATTTATGGGATTAGCCATTCTGATCAGCCAGGTTTTTGGTTTTAGCCTGTATTGATCGTTGCGTCTGTTAGGAATTTGATTCAATCCTTTCAGAGTTTATACGTTAGGATTACTATTTAGGGATCATTCAGGAAGCTCTTTCAAGCTGCAGTTTTCGTTTTCCGCAAACTCTAAATTCTAACATTCAACTGCTGGAAGAACCATATTCAAGCTATTTGTTCTGATAAGTCTGCCAGCACTCAAAGTTTTTACTTGGTGAAGTTCATCACTGTTTGATGATTTTACAAGCTTTTTGTTCCTTGTTTCTCGATTTGGATTATTGAGGAAGTAATTACTGAACGGTTGTTCTTCATATTTGTTTTTGATTTAATAAATGTGGTGTTTAAATAAACCATAGTTCATGTGTTGAGTACTTTGTTTAGGGATACTTTGTGATGATTTCAGAGATTACGAGGAAAGTACTGAAATCTTTCATCAATTTTATCTCTCTTAAGTTATGTATTCTAATTGATGTTTTGCTACGAAACATCTTATTTAAGTCTGGTGAGGTATCCATTTTTTTGCAAATTGTTTTTATTGAGGTTATTTTGAATGTTTTATTGTAATTTTTAGCTGCGCTAATTTTTGCCATTATAGGGTTCTACATGAGAAATTAGGGTTGGAATTTGGACAGATTAAATTCTAGGAGGGGAGATATTCCGTCGTTTGCAACTTTAGTTTGCATCATACCGTCTATTGGGGAAAATATTTGTGTACGTAAGACGTACGTAGCGCTGCGTACGTCGGGAGGTTATTCAGAGGGTATAGCCCCTGTAACCTCCCTATAACCTACCTGTAACTTACAAATAAGTTTCATGTTTCTGTAGTTCCGGTAGATACAGGGAGGTTATAGGGGGTATAATGCGGATATAACCCCCCTGTACTCTCTGAATAACCTCCGACGTACGCAGCGCTGCTAACTAAAATATTTTCCGTTTATTGGGGGCTTGAGCTAACTAAAATTGATAATTGATTGGCGATTTATTTGTGGAATTTATTTTATGATTTTTCACAATTATATACATTCTTTGGGAGTATATTGCTCGTCGAAGAAAAAAAGTTAAGGTGAACCCAAAATTGTAAACAATTTTAAATTGTTCATATTAAACGTTGTTTAGGGGGTTTTGATAGCATTATTTACAAGGGAATTAGTCAAAGAATTAATTTAAATCCAACCAAACTTAAAAAAAAAATCAAAATTAAATTCAATGTTCCGTTATATCGAAAATTCTTGCATTACGATGTTTCTTTCGGTAAATTTGGTTTTCGTAAATTCAACTGTGGGAAGAATATAAGATTTTCATGCAGCCGATGTTTAAGGGTTTGTTCCGGTGAAAGTGAAGATTGAATTTATGGGTTTTAATAAATCTAGTTAACGTAAATTCAATCTGCAGCAAAATACCGCCTTAGTCTGTAACAGTCGTAAAAAAATTCGCTTTATGAATTTAATTATTTAGTTACGAAAACAAAGTAATTATAATATCATGATTATATTTATTAATAAAGTAATTATAATTCAAGTTCTATATGTAAATATTTTATTTTTATTTATATGTTATAAAATGGAACAATCCGGAGAGCTATAATGCTTGCATTGAAAAAATGTTAGTGTTTAAAAAATAACTGGGGAATATACATATGCCCCATACAATTTTTATATATTCGTATAAACAAAATAATAGCTCTGGCAATGGAAACTTTTTCTTATTTGATTTGCAAGTGATTCAAATTTTTGGCTTAAAGCAAATTTAAAACATCTTCAAGGATGCTCAAATGCTAACCTAGAACATGGATTGCTTTATGTCTTTTTTTCTCCGGGTGAGCATCTTTAAAACAAAATTTTAAGACTAGCTATAATTATTTATTTTGACTCTAGCTTTAATTTGAGTAAGAAAAACATCGAAATAACATGCAAAGCAAATAAGAAAATGGAATTAAAACCAAAAAAAAAAAAAAATACCACAGATAAGAACAGCAACAAGTAAGTAAATCTATGATTATCAAAAGTAAGATCCTTGTATATAAATGCATCAATGATAAACCAACATAATTCAGGTAGCGTTTATGTTGGCAATCAAATGAGAAATGAGATTGATGGCGTTTGGTAGCTCCGGGTTACAGGTTAGATAATACAATCCTCCTTTTTTCCGTCGTAAAAATAATATTTATGTTGTACAAATATGAATACTTTTTAGAGCAAATATTTAAGGTACCTTTGAAAAAGATAATCTACGATGATTTTATAAGCTCTTTCGGTGGGGTGATAGCTATCCCAAAATACATATTTGGTATCATCTAGGCAAGTAGGTGACTTTGGATTGCACAGTATCGAAGCCTCTATTTCGCCTGTTCCACAACATCCTTTATTTGAGACCTCAAATCCTACAATCATAATCAACATAATTTATTCAATCAAAACATACAAGTTCTTGAAAAATTAAAAAAAAAAGTAAAAGACTTTTGTTTAAAAAAAATAAAACAAATCTTATTTTCTTAAAAAAGAAACGGGAAAAAGAGGGTGTATATTCGCTTTCTCAAAAAGTTGTATTTTATTTATGAAAATGAAATATGCTATAAATTGAATCACTAAAAAGATAGCTTTTATTTATTTATGAAAATATTAAATATAATTCATTCATGATTTTTTATCCCTTTTGATATCATCTCTGTGCATTATTAAAGGTGGCATGAATTGAATGCTGATGGGTGTGGATACTAAGAATCTGCAATTGCATTTATTAGCACTAAAAAAAATAAAATAATGAATTAGCTAGTTGCCATCATAAATACCCCTGAATGGCAGGCATTAACTAGACAGGGCCAAGCAAATACACTTTATTTATAAATTCATGATTTCTTTGTGAATTAATTAATTAGAAAAGATAAAAAAATTGTTTCATTCTAATTTATATTACCATATTGTTGTGAGGATTTGTATAAATATGTATGTGAGAAAGCATAAAATTATTATTGGTAACGTTAAGAAGCATTGAGGAGTTAATAAGTGTAATAATTACCATAAACAGAGGGTCTCTGAACAAAGTCAAGTATTATGGTGTAGATATCCAGATAGACCAGTTTTGTGCCTTCGAATGTCGTGCTTAGCCTTTCGAGCTCTGCATTAATTTTTGAATTATAAAGCTCTGCTGCCTCATTCCGAACTGGAACACATCCTCTTAACAGTCCTCCTGCTAGAGTTCTTTGTGATGGTAGGCAGCCCACAGGGGGGAGCCCAACAAATCCTATTTTACGTGCTCCCATCTGATATAAGTTCTGCCGAAAATAAGAGAGAGAGGGAATATCAAATTAAAATGAATTACTTTAATTACTTTAGAAGTAAATAAAATTGGAGGGAGCCAAATAAGCTCTAAATTAATCTATGCACGTTATGCTTGAAATGATATAAATTATAATAGAAATAATGTATGATAGATAATTAATTCATGAATATCATTTTTTTCTGTCAATTATAAATTAAAAAGTCAGGCAAAAAACTCTGGGCTAGATTGATTTGTTTCACATCTAACAGAAATTATACTTAAGAAACAAAAAAAAAAAGACTCTTCAAAACCATACATCTTAAGAAAATTATTCTATATCAAATTATTGAAGCTACTTTTTCAGGAAAAAATATTAAATTGTCAATTCACTCAAATAAGTATATGGATAAGACAAAAAATGATAAAAGAATTTATCCCAAGAAACAACCAATCTATATAATCAAAGTATGTCGTTGGTTTGTCGTTAAATAATATTATTGTAATATAAATGTTTGTTTGAATTCTTGATGATGACTCTTGTCCACTCCCTCTATTTACTTAATGAAATTGGTCAGTACCATTCATAGATTTTAGAAAGAACCCAACTATATTTATAACACACCAATTAAATAAATGGTTTGTATAAGTGAGAGTAAAATATCATAATTTTAGTTTTTATTTGAGATTTTTATATAACAATCATTCAAAATTTTAAATATAATGGATTGGCTATTCAAACAAAAAATTTCACATTTCAATCATCTAAGAAACACCTAAAACTTTAAATAAAATGGATTGACAACTCCTCCTTCAAAAGAAGATAAAGTTGTTAATAGTCGAAATATAAATTTTAAGCTTAGGTGGCAAAATTTTATATTTAAAATTTTTGTCGGTTGGTATGTAGAAGCCCTTTTTATTTTTAGTTTTTTTTGTTATTATTATTATTAGTATTATTTTAAAAGTTAAGCCTTAGTAAAAATTTGATTAAAAATTAATGACTTAAATGAACTTAGTCCTCGTGCATTCATTACATTAAATTTTAGTTTACAGACTTTTGGATGGTTATGGGAATGAACAAGAAACCAACATGTAGATAAATAATCTAAATAAACAATCTAATTTGAATTCAAATCAAAAATTAAGTTCAAGTTTAATAACGAACTAATAACACTTAGCAATAGACCTACAACCTACGACAGCGAGGATGCCTCTATTACCTATGGTCATTATTATGTGCAACCATAATTGATGTAATTCCCTCACCTCAACTCCATCTAGAATATTCCACTTTGTGTATAAAATGTCTGTCACTGTTGCGAGCCGTGGCTAGGGAAGAAATTAAGCACTATGAAATGCATTTTAATTGTGCTACCTCTGTATCCTTCTACATTTGCAAGAATGATCCATAAGCTTCACTTTTCTTTCTTCTTGCATTCCTCATTTCATTTTTTATATAGTAACATGGAAGAGTTGAACACCTCCACCCTTAGCTACAACTTACCAACCCTGAAGATCGAGGACTGCAGATGCCCCCAACTTTGAAATTCTTGGTCTCCAACATCAGATCTGTGGTAAATACATCGCTCTCCACTGATAATTACTCCTTATGGAGGTCTCAGATGTCCAAAGTGATCAATGTAAATAGATGTGGTGGGTTCATAGACGACACTATCCCAACCCTTATCACCAACATCCCATGCATTCCCTCTCCCAACCTAGCTTACAACACGTGGAATCTTATAAACCAGAACCTCATTGCAGCAATTCTCTCCACTGTCTCTACCATTGTGTTTCCCTATATCATCAACCTATATAGCTGCAATGAAATCCAGGAAGCTCTCGAGAGTCATCTTCAAGCCACAAATAGATCCTGGGTAACCAACTAAAAAAATGAGCTCCATAATGTTACCTTGAGGAATCAAACAATGACACAATACCTAGCTCAAATCAATCTACTAGTCGATACTATAGCAGCTGTTGAATCATCGATTGACATAAATGCCATCCTATATATTCTCAAAGGATTCCTTCCAACCTATTAAGCATTCAAAACCGCGATTCGAACCTTCCTATCACATATTAGCCTTGAAGACCTCTATTATTTGCTTTATAGTGAGGAGATAAACATCACAAATGATAACACTGGAAAAATTTAGCAAATTGACATCCATCTGGCGCTATACACGAAGCGAGGAAGAGGACACAACAACAATACAAACCAAAGCTTTAATAGGGGTAATTCCAAGCACAAAAAATCCAATAACGCCATCAACTGCGAAATCTGTCTCAAACCAGGGCATCTATCATCCGCATGTTGGCATCACACTAGCCTCAATTATTAGCCCACACAACTAACAACTCATACTGCATTGATCAACTCATCAGCCACCGAGCAGAAGTGGTACCTTGATACAAGAGCTTCGAACCACCTAACATTAGATTTCAATTCTCTTCAGAATCCCAAAATCTATAAAGACGATGAACAAACCTTTGTTGGTAATGGTAATAATGTACCCATTCAATACAATGGCCAAGGTCTGCTCTTCACTCCCTCAAGTAAGCTCTTCCTCTCAAAAATATTCCACACAACAATCATAATTTAATTTCCATCTCACAAATCGCAACTGAAAATAACTGTATTATCCACTTTGATGATTCTAGCTATCAAATTAAGGATTGCTAGACTCAACAAAATCTTCTAAAAGGACCTTGCCTTGATGGCCTCTATCCAATACTTTTTCGAAAGCAATCCCTATCTCAAGAACTGCTTCCGCTGACACCTAAACTCATAGGCTCAGTCACTCGAATACCAAAGTCCTCCTCTTCATCACAAATCACCATCCATACTTGCACATTCCAAATTATTATACTTTTTGCAATTCATGTAATACAACTAAACAATAAAGACTAACTTTTGTTTCTTCTAGTAATCATACTTATCTTTCGCTAGAACTAGTTCATTCCGATGTATGGGGACCATCCCCACATACTTCTAATCAAGGATTTAGATTTAATGTAAAATTTGTGGATGATGCAACTTGTTACACTTGGGTCGAGTATTTCCTATGATTCACAAATTTGAAACTGTAACCTACCTCATACATTTTAAAAATCAAGTCGAAACTCAATTCAACACTAAAATCAAAATTCTCTGCTTTGATAGAGAGGAGGAATACATGAACCACCACCTCGACAAATATCTAGCCAAACAAAGTAGCATTCATCAACTTTCATGCACATACACACCTCAACAAAATAGCCTCGCCGAAAAAAAACATGGGCATATCCTCGAAACACTAAGATTCCACATCCAAGCTCCCACCAAAATTCTGGCCTACTACCATTCTCACTGTAATAAATCTTAATAAGATTGAATGCATTCTCCCAAAACTCATAATCAGTCTCAAAATAATCTTCTTCATAAACATCCTCCAGCATACAAACACTTAAGAGCATTCAGTTGTGCTTGCTTTCTTTGGTTCCTACCAAAACACTGCAACAAACTAGATTGACAATCGGACCTATGTGTCTTTCTCGGCTATCCAAGAAATCTCAAAAATTACAAATGTCTTCACCTCTAAAGTGGCAAAATTAACTTATCTCAACATGTCACATTCAATGAACTTCACTATTCCTGCAAAACATCACCACCCAACACCAATACTCATCCACCCACTAACTCTTACACACTCCTCACTCTCATCCTCACCTCCCTTCCCTCCTGCACCAAACAGTCCACCATCCACTCACCATATGTCTCCACCACTTTACCGAAGCCATCCCAAATAACCTCTAACGCTTCATCACCGAACACCAATTATTCACATCCACCTACTTCTAAGCTCCCTTCACCACTTATTAATCGTAACCAGTCACCCACTTATATGGTCCCCCCATCTTCAAGAACTCCAACAACACATCCTATGACCACTAGATCTAAAAAAGGCAACCTAAAACCCAAACACATTTTCAATCTTTCTCACGTCCAAACAAATGAACCTCCCACTTTCAAAGTAGCCATGCAACGCCATCATTGGAGGCTGGCCATGTAAACAAAACTCGAAGGCCTCCAAAATCAACACACATGGACTTTGGTACCACCCCCATCTAATCAATCCATCTTGAGCATCAAATTTACATACAAATTCAAGCGTCAACCTGATAGAACCATTTCCAACTACAAATCACGTTTAGTAGCTCAAGGGTACAAACAAGAGTTTGGCTTACACTAAACCAAAACTTTCAGCCCCGTGGTTAAACATCCAACAATCTGAACTCTTCTAAAAATCTCTGTTAATCGACAATGGCCCATCTTCCAACTGAAAATCACTAACGCATTTCTTCACGACGAACTTCAAGAAATAATGCACATGCACCAACCACTGGGCTACATCGACGACACCAAACCACATCATGTTTTCCTACTACGGAAAGCAATTTATGGACTTAAGCAATCTTTGTGCCAATGGTTCACCAAGTTCACCGACAAACTATTACTTCACGGCTTTAGCAAAGTCAAGCCGATCCATCCCTCTTTATATATGAGCACAACTCTATCATTATATATCTACTATTATACATTAATGACATATTGGTGATAGGAAACACCACAAGCTACATAAACAGCCTCCTGGAAGCACTCAAAACCGAATTTCTCATGAAAAATATAGGTACTACTTCAACATTTCCGATCTCTTCCGTAATGATTCTATTAGTAAAAAAACAAAAAGATTTATTATATATATTTATATTTTTGACATAAAAGAGAGTCTATGCAAATTGTTGTATTTGACTTAATTATGCACTGATGTTCATTCAATAAAAAATAGATTTTATATTGGGCAAGCTATATGATCAAAATTTGAGTAGACATGAATTTGCTCTTCTAACATAAACTACACTCGAAAATTTGTCATTTAAAAAAAAAGAGCTTTTTGGTGTTTTTTTTTTAAACTATGTCAGGGATGCACTTATGCGTTAGCATCAAAATATATATTGGGAATCTGATAAATATTAATGGATGAGTTAGGATTGAGAATTTGAAAAATGAGTGAAAAAAGGGGTTAGATTTGTTAATAGCGATGTTTAGAGTGCTATATATGTAATTGCCCCAGAGAAGAGTTAAACGACATTTTTGACATTTTTACCATTGAGCCCTAGTTCACCCAAATTTTCAAAACCAGAGTGCTGGTTTGATGTTAAAATTGGGGTGACCATAACATCACACAAAGAATAAATTACAAATAGCTCTCATGATATATATTTTTTGAATAACATTATATATAAGAAAAATAGTAAACTCTTAAGTGATCATAGGCGGAGAATTAGCAAACCAAGCAATCATAGAATCATATTATTTGTTTTTTGAGAGAGAGTCTAATTACCTGGATGAACTGGGAAGAGTAGCTGACAAGCAGGTTGACGTAGGAAGGAATGTCGTAATGGGGCTGGCGGAAGGGGGTGATAAAATAGGTGTTGGCTAGATCATTGGAACCGGAGCACACCACGTACAGACTCTCTTTTATTATATCATCCGCCCTCTCCTCTCCCGCGATGTTCTTCAGCTTTCCCTTGTATTCTGCGAATAGTTTTAGCTGATCCGGCATTGATATCGCCGACTGCATTTATTTATTGCCATACAACAAATTATCAGTTCATGCTATATATACATCAAATTAGTATATATATACATCAAATTAGTATAATATATATATATATATATATGCGTCAAGCCTTGGCTTATTGGTGGCCGGGTCATTATAAGTTCCCTCAGTTCAATTGTTCGATTCTAAAGTGTCGTGGGTGCTCTAAAATTTTAGGCACAAGACGTAGACTCTCGTCATTGGGCCAAAAAAAAACATGACAAATCGATATTTGGGCCTTTGCCAAATATCAATTTCTTTTAAGGAAATATATATATAATGCAAGCTATTTTGGCTTCGATCAAGAAGTTCTGGATTTAAGATTTTACATATTTTGGATGTGCGCGCGCTTTCATTAACAATACGAGTGATATAAGCATGATTTCTTGAATTGTTAATCAAAATAGGACGCATATAAAAAAATTCTTTTAAATCGCATAAGCATATAAATAGGATTATAATTTTAATGTATAGAGTGAACTTGAATTCATACTATCATTGAGGTGAAATACAAGATCAGAATTAGACAATAAAAAATGTATTATATCTCATTCGATTATTCTTATATGTTTAATATAATTAAACTATATTTTCGGAAGAATGTTTAATATATAATGTTTGCTCTCTTACACGTTGTGGAATCCCATATTCTAATCTTCAGGATAATTATACTTGCTGGTACTTCCAGTCATCATGTTTTGATTTTACAACTCATTTTGGGCAGTTGAATTTATGAAACATTTTTTTAATGAATTAATTATTGGTACCCAAAACAAGTCGCTAAATAAACATAAGATTATAGAATAGAGAATTAAAGCTAGAATTCAAGTTTGAGAGAGAGAGAGAGAGTGTACTGAATAAATGGGGGTCAAGGGATCGTATCCAGTGGCTCCGGAAGCGAAGCTGACTCCAGTGAGTAGGTCCTCTGCTCCTAGATTTTGGCCAACATAAGCTGGTACTATTTCCTTTACACCCAAAGTTGAGGCTAAAAAAATTACATATAAATAAATAAAAAAAAACCATCATAATCAAACTGATTTTTTTTTTTTTCAAAAACATTTATTTTATTATATTTTAAAATGCATCACTCAGAAAGATTAATGCTTTTTAAACCATCCAGCAACTTCTATATTCCAAAATGCTGCTGACATGTTACATAAGTTTTCGATCAACTATAAATCTATAATATTTGTGGCACAAGTATAAAAAAAGAATTATTTATATTCACGACAAATATGTGGCATGAGAGTAAGAAAAAAACATATCTATTTTCAATGTATATATATTTAACAATATAAGCATTTTTATTGATAGATAATAAAGCTAGCTGTTCACGTTCTCTTCAGAAATTTTTTAATTATTAAAACAATTGCAAATTTAATTGTCCGACGCTACCTCCAACCAATCTTTCCCTTCGCTTGATTAAAAAAACGATACCATTATTACAACACTTCAGATTGCACTCACAAATTATTATTATTTTTAATGATGATGTTTATTAGCTAATCAGGAAAAAATTAGTCACTATTAAATATGCCATAAATTAAAATTTTCAAAAATTTTTAAGAAAAGCATGATATAATCAGGAAAAGTGGGCTGGCCCTAGCACTAATCTTTACGAAAATTCCTATAAATATGCTCTGCCATACAGTAACAGAGTTGTTCATGTAAAGTATATAAAACAAATGTATACATAACATATATATAGAAAAAGAAAAGTATATATATATATATATATATATGCTTTACGGGAATAAGAAAAGTACCTATAAGGTCACCAGGTATCCTGCCATTGCAGAATCTGCCTGTGGCTACATGGCCGATGAAGTCCTTCCCATATGGAGGAAAATTACACTTCGCAATTGTTTTTATCGCATTGTTATTTCCAGGATCAACAATGGAGTCACCAAACAAAATAACAGCAGGAACAATAGGCTTCGAAGTTCTGTTAACAGCAAGGGCGATTTGAGAGCAGAAGTAACAGCTCATAACTGCGACTAAAAGACGAAGTGTGGCGTTCTGTGTAGCTCCAACAAAACTGTTTCTGCTCTCCATTGATTTTTATCAATCTTCTTTGTGGTGCCGAAGAAGGCAATGAAAAGGTGCCGTTTTTATAAGCTCCAAGGCAGATGAACACAGCTGCATGAGTTAGTCACATGCTAACTATAAAAGTAGACGAATTTATTGCACTGAAAGATTAGTTAATAGATCAAAAAAAAAAAGAAAAAAAAAAGGAAGAGTACTTCGAGGGTTCGAGTATGCTTTAATAAGCTCATTTTAAGAAAAATAATAGAAGAAGATGCATATCTTGGATTTTCAAACAAGGAAGCAAACAAGTTCCTAAGTTTTGTGATCCTCTGACATGACAATCCACTGCAATAAATTTGTGCCGTAAATATATATAATTTAAGAAATATTATTACAATAAATTTTGTTGTATTATATATAATATTCTAACAACGGGTTTTTGGAGGCTTTGTAGCTTGTATGAGCGGATTTTCTTCACTCTTCTCCTGGAAACTTAGGGAGTTTCATACCATATTGAAATCTCTCCTCTTGTTTGCATTTCCTTCAGCTCTGGGGTTCTCAGTTTTCTACTGTACTTTGGTTTTTGCCAACCTCTACTAAATTGCAACCAATATGTGAATATATTTAATTATATTCTATACTTTATAGGGAATTTTAATATTTTTGCTCACGTAAGTTTCTGCGCTATTACTTGATCTTAGCTTTCTGCTCAAATTTGGTTTCTGAGCTGTGATGATTGCTAACCGCTATTAAAATTCAACTGATTTAAGAATATCACTATTTCTATTCTTTACTTTAGATGGAATTTTAATTATCTTTTTCAGATATGTGCTGAGCTCACCTATATATGATAGAGAGCTTCTAACTTATAGTTTCTTTATTTTATCTGTTTTGTTTTTCTTTATAATATAGTTGTTTTACAATTGATTGGCTTTATAGTTGGGCTGCTGTTGTAATCTTTTTCATTCTCTTTCTATTTGTCTTTTTTCTCTTTAGTTAGTTTCCTATTGTTTGTTTGGTATTTTAATTTAGTCCCTTGTGTCTATTCTTTTAAAATTGGTTGACATCTTTGTTGGCTGCTCTCTTATTTGTACTTGTTTGTAGGTTATTGGTTCGAGCGACTTCTTTTGGTTGCTACATTATCTTGGGATTTTGTTACAGCTTCCTTTTTTTTTGCGTTCTTGTTTTTTCTTCATTATTTTGATTTGTTATTGCTTATTTTTATAATTGTTCATATTAACTTTCCTTTTGGTTTCTTAGTTGAGTTGTATTTGTGTCTATATCTTTCTATTTTCTATTAATAAAGCTGGGTGACCCTCACATTTAAAAAAATATATATAATTGAATAATTTTTTCAAAGATGAGTAAAGTGACACTACGGAAAAAAAGAGAGTAGAATCGATGGTCTAAACTGATGTCGGTAAAAATGTCCTATTTTTGACGGCATTGCGACGATTTAAGTGATGAATTATTTCTGATGGCATGACAACATGACAACTATAAGCTTTTTTTCGATGATTTTTATTATGACCGATGAATTGGACCGTTAGTTATAAGCGAATAATACCTGGGAACCTTATTTAGTTGGTTATTTACAAACCAACCATTTGGCGGGGTGTTAATCAATGATATTTTTTAATAAGCGATGACAAAAATTATCAGTATTAATATTAACAACAGATGATTTTAAGTCATTTGTACATCATCAGAATTAGTCCTTTATAACACCGAAATCACAACACCCCCAGTTTTGCCCTAATCCTCTCGGTCTCGGTGTCTCCCTCATGCCCTAATCCTCCACTCCCCTCCCCTCTCACGGCAACTCCACCGCCTTGACGACCAAAGCTTTGGTGACCCTAGCTCCAGTGGCTCTAGCTTCGTGAAACCACCACTCCGACACTCACATGTATGACCTACTGTTCTTTTACTTTAGTTATGGATGCTCTTACTGGACATTTACATGAGGATGTACATTGGTGTATGCTTTTTGCCGTTGATATCCTCCTTGTGGATGAGATTAGAGAAAGTGTTTAATTAGAGGCTATTTGGTACAGGATTTATGTAGGATTTAAGCTAAATCTTGCAAAAAGAAAAAAAAAATGCCTTCATAAATCCTACAAGTTCTTAAATCTCATTTTCACTCTATCTTGTCTGAAATCTAGGATTTACCAAATCTCGTTGGAAACAAGTTTACTAAAGTTAGAGAAGTTGAAGTTTGTGAGATAATTTAAAGGGTTTAGCATAATCTATTTGAGGTGTTTGGTTCAATTATGGTTAAATCTAGTTAAATCCATTTGAGATATTTGGCATAAATCTATTTAAAATATCTTTTTCTACGTTGAACTATTAAACCCATCTAATAAGCTGATTGAGTAAATCCATATTTAATAAATAAAACAAAAAAAGTTAGATTTAACTTAACAATGGGTTTATCTAATTTATTTTTGGTGTTTGGTTGGATTTTAGGTAAATCTAACTTAAATCCTGTTAAAAAGAACATGCCAAACACCCCATTAATTTATGGAGGTTGATATTGGAGTCAAAAGGCCTTCATTTGAGTGGATCTAGAATTGAATCCACAAAATGTAATTTTAGTAGTAGTGGTTCTAGTGGCAGAGTTGTAAGTTGTAACTACAGGTGTAATTTTAGTAGTAGTGGTTCTAGTGGCAGAGTTGTAACTACAGGTGATCAAATCATTAAAAGGTGGGAACATTTTTTGATATCTCGAGTCACTTGTTCAAGGTGATGGTGATATAGATGGGGATGTGATTAATAAATTTCAAGTTGGTTGGTTAAAATGAAGGAATTCATTCGAGCTACTGTGTGACAAAAAATACGACTTAGACTTGAAGGAAGATTTTATAAGATGATGGTGAGATCCTCAAAGTTCTATGACACACCTTTAGAAGAGAAACATAAAAGAAATATAACTGTTTGGGGCTGTTTGGTAGCCACTTTAAAGAAGGATTTATGTTAAATCCCGCCAAACGACAAAAAAATGATCGCGTAAATTCTTCCCCCATTTTCGCCAAACAACATGTAAAAATTGAAGTTTAGTTGTTATATAAGTAATACATATAAATTGTGTAGTTCATATATAACAATTACAATAGAGGTGTTAGATACACAATGCATAAGAATTATGGCCTGTACATAAAAAATTATACCATCTGTGCTAGATATATTGCTAGACAGTTCTCTAGATTTAAATCATTCAAGATTTACTAGTCCAATCTTAAAAGATTTACTAATCCTAATAACTTAAATCAAATCAGAATATGTTGGAAGGTGACAAAACAAACTAGTGAAAAGTTGTGGAGACGAGAATAATTTGATTAATTAATGGCTTTACAATCAAATAGAAAATGTGAAAGAAATGTAAAATTTGTATCAATTCTCATTGCTTATCGATTTTTGACAGTCATAACAACATAAATAGATTGTTATCTGGATTGGAGAGAGTCGTCTTAGATGGTTTGGTCAGTTTAAACATCGTTCACGTTGTGTCAGATCAAAATTTAGTAGGATCGATTCATAATCTGATTTCATGTCCGTGAATTTAGTGAGGACAATGAAAATCACTCAAAAATTAATTTTGAATTGAATTTCTTGCGAACCGACCTCCGGCTGGAATCGAAATCAGATCATTTATCCTCATATTGATGTTAGGAATGTTAAAGATTGTTAAATCCATAAAGGTATCACTTTCTAAGACTCTATGCAACTATAGCTACTTCAAACATATAACTGACATATTTGTTTTGTATTTTGTTTTCAACTGTAATGCCAATCACAAAGCTAAACATTCTTGACCCCACTACCCCTTAAGCAACTAACTGCGCACCTCAAAATATTTTCTTAAAGTAAGATATTTTATATGATGAAAAAATTTTGAATGTTTCTTAAATTGTGAATTTTGTTTTCCATTGCTAAAATAAAAATTTATTTCGAAATCTAATTTGTCTCTTCCAAAATGAAAATTTTCTTCAATATATAATTATCATTTCCGCAATTACCATTTTGTAATGCAAATTAGAATCCAAAGTGCATTTCAATTTTGGAACAACTGACAAATTAAATTTTGAAGTGAATTTTCATTTTGACAAAGAAAAATAAACTTCATAATGGAGATGCAGTGACAACTCTTACATCATATGAAATATTTCATTTTAAAAACATAATTCGAGGTGTTCAGTTAATCATTTATGGGGTTGGCGGAGATGAGAATGATTAGATTAATAATTGGCTTTCCACTTGAAAAATAAATGCGAATGAAATAAACTTGTGTAGGGTTTGATGTAGCTATGGTGATAGAAAATATTAGATCAAAAAATTCATAAAATTTAAAGACTGGTTATCAATATTCAATAGCCCTAACAACCATAATAGGTTGTTAACTTTTGATTTTGAGCTTAACTGTCGCTGGCTTGAAGCTGGGGTCATTTATTTTGATCCACTCTTTATCCAAGTCAAAACTAAAATTAGACAACTTTTTAGGGATATTCGTTATTTTGTATTAAAAAAAAATTATGATGATTTATTTAGCCTTTCTAATGCCTATTTCTAATATTTCTTGCAACTTTAGCTACCCCAACCATTTCATGGATATATTTATTTCATATTTTTTTTCCAATTGTGAATTCATTTATAGAACTAATCATTCTCTTCGCCCCAACCCCTTACGTCATTAACTGCACACCTCAAAATATGTTTTTAGAAAGAAATATATCCTATGATGTAATAGCTTTTATTACATCATCCAATATGAAGTCTAATTTACATTCTAAATTGAAAATTCACTTTAAAATCTAATTTGCTAGTTCCAAAATAGAAATTCACTTCGAAATCTAATTTTTATTGCAACAATTTCTATTTGAATAATACATATTAGATTTTAAAGTAAATTTTTATTTTGGAACTGTAAAATTAGATTTCAAAGTGAATTTTTATTTTGGGAATGAAAATTAGACTTTGTATTGGAGGATACAGTGAAAACTCTTATATCATATGGAATATTTTCTTATAAGAACATGTTTTGAG